AATTGGAAGCAAATTCCCTCCCTTTGTCTCTCTGTGCGTGTGTGTGTGTAGCAGCTTCTCTAAATCTCTCCTACACACACAATTTTGGACTTGAGCCACACCCTGGCAATGACATCTAAAAGTCAGGTTCTCAAGTCAGCAACAATAATAGTGAAACAGTAAATCTCTGACCAAGCTGGCAGGAGACCAACTGCTGACATCTATTTTAAAAGATTTTTTAATGAATAGCCTCCACCGAGGAAACAAAATTACATCCTGAATAAATATATTCCTGTAAAATTAAATCTCTTAATAAATGTAGGGAAAGAAATCTTTCTGCACAAAATATGGATGGCAGCGGTGAGGGAAAAAAGTGAATCATGGAATGAATATTGCTGGCCTGATTTCATCCCCCCTTCCTATTTTTCACCAGACGATAACTCATCTATCATCTACGACCCATTAACAACCATCCCCAGTCCAGTTAATACCATCAGGAAGGGAAGAGCCACTCTCTGCCCCTCTGCTGCTGCTAACATAATTGTTATACTTTGGCTCCAGTCAAATGCTGTTTTCCTCTTTGTGACCAATTACCTTTATCTTTGTTAGATGACAGCGTCAATTTGCCTTCAAAGCTGGTCGATGCAAAAAGTGAAAACAGGACTGGCAAAATATGCCTTTGATAAAAAAAAAAAAACATATTGCAGATATGGTTGTTGTTTTTTTCATCTTGTGATGATGTGTCAATCAAAAAATGGATCACTCCCATCTCCTGCCCGGATATTGTGTCAAATGGGTTACGTACTGCAAATTATAATATTAGCAATACATACTGTTCTTTATGTAATCTTTTAGTATTCTTTTCATTTTTCAAGTATATTTTATATCTTTATTGTCTGGTTTCACTTTACCTCAGGAACCAGTTACTTTTGGTCAGGAAACAGAGATTGTGAGCACTTTTTCTTAGCTCTTCCTTTGCATAGGAAATACAGTATATTGGTTCTTGGTTACGTGTTATTCTCTCCTGTTCATTACCTCCGCTCTACTCCACCTTACACTAAATATGCACATAAATGGATCATTTGCTGTCTGAGGAATATATGTGTGTGTAGTTTGTCTACACACTCTGTCTATTATTGACTGTTGTTGAATCCTGAATGCAACCAGTTCAGGAACCAGAACTCCTGGTGCATACTTCTCTTTACAATAGTCCCCATTTGGAGCCACGATTGCAGTGTTTCTGAACCACTTCATTTGACTTCCACCACTCACATCCTGGATGCATTCATGGATACGTGCATGAATGCGAGTAGAGTACCACCAGGGGTAAATGTACCATAGTTTAAGAACCAGCGTCTTATAATAGCAATGACCTGGTTCATCATCATAGTACCTCACCATCATTGAGCATAATATTGTCCTAACAAGTATCCTAATGAGATAACAAATAGACAACCCAGGTTTAGAAGTATATATTAAATATATTAAAAATATATTAAAAATACAATATGTATATGTATTTAAACTATAAATGATTTGTCTCAAGAGATTCATGCACACTTTGATCCCCCTATGGCAGATAAAATAAAAATTATAAAGGGCTGAGGCGCAGAGTAGCTCAGCTGGTAGAGAGCGCAGCAGTCCAGGTTTGATTCCAACCTGCGGCCATTTGCTGCATGTCTTTCCCCCCATTAAAAAAAGCCCCAAAAATATATTTTTTAAAACAAACAAACATAATAAAGTGCCCTCTAGGTTGCCTGTCCAGTGAGGAAAACACATTGCAGAGCCCTATACTTCAAATCTTTCTATTTAAATCTAAGGCACATACTAATAAAACAATTTTAATCTTAACCAGGATTTCGAAGTGTTTCACTAGAAATGCATCACAACGCCCGGCGTGTTAGTGCCCCACCGCATGCAGCTGGTGCCCTTCTTATTTTTGTTCGCCCCTGGTCCTGAGACAGCCACTGAGTCCACCACTGTGTGGGAGGGTCTTAGGGACAAAAAAGACTTTGTGTTG